CTGCATCCACACCTTTGGAATGACATTAGCATGTAAACTCTCATTTAGAGGTGTAAGCCGTGCGGCTGAGCCGCCGCCGCCGCCGATTAACGGGAAAAATTTTAAGCCGCCGCCGCCGTGACAGTCGAAATTTTAAAAATTTATAAGCCGTCGCCGCTGAGACACTTTAGTTCCAGCCGCCGCGCCGCCGAGGGCATTCAGAATTTTCAACTTTTTGAGCCGCCGCCGCCGCCGACACCGTTCATAAACATCGACAACTTTTTAATCATTTTTTCCTTAATTTTGTATGGGTTAAAAGTTTCAAGTAATCATTTCACTTGTTAATGTCTATAACATTATATATAAGTAAAGACCAGTATTATAAGTTTCGATTAACAAAAACAAAATCAAGCAACAGACTTGTGTGTGCTACGTCGTTCTACTTATTAACAAACTCGGTGACGGTTTTTCATCTACTATTTATCCTGGTGGTTATATTTATTTTTCATTTATTTGTATTCTCAGTGGTTGTATTATTTTTTCACTTATTAATAATCCTAGTGATTCCGTTTTATTCAGTAGCAATTCAAGTTATATTTCCTACTCAAAGTTTGATGGTTTTACTATGTATTGATGATTTTGGTAATTTTTATTTATCATTATTTTTGGTGTTGCTTTTTCAATTTTCAGAAATTTGTAGGTGCTGTTTATTGATAAATAAATAATTCTGTTTGTTTTGTTCATTTTTAGGTTCATCTTGCGGTTGAAATGACAAATATATATTGTGTAAACAAAAACTTTTTTATCGAGATGAACCTACCTAATCTACCAAAACCATCGTTCGTCTGGAATCATTTCGGTTATTTGTACAAAAAAACCGAATTAGTTAGCCGATAATTAACATGTTTATTGCAAAATTTGGTTTCACAAATTGAAAAACGATCAAGCTGATATTACTTTTTTCAATTAAAAATCTTATTGGTATTTATAGCAATATAAGTGGTACAGAAAATGTGAAAAATCATTTAACGGTCTACGAAAACGTTTTTGGACAAAGTATTTGTTCATTTTTTTCTCTTATAAAAGTATTCTAGTCGAGTGAAAAAAGAGTGATTAGGACGAGAATGATGTGGTCTTTCCAGATATAGGCTCATAAATTGTGTACCTATTGTTGCTCCAGAATAAGTAAGGAGATCTCTGAAAGGTCTAAAAACACAGTTTGGACACATCAATTATTCAAAAGTTTCTCGACAATATTTTGTTCATATTTTATTGGCTTAAGTGTTCTAGGTGAATGAAAAAATTTAGATTAGGACTAGAATTCCGTGCTCTATCCGAATATAGTCTGAGGGATTGTGTATCTGTTCTTGTCATAGAGTAGTGAGGAGGTCTTTGAATGTTCTGAAAAAGTTATGTCAGTGGCAAATAAAAAAGCTTTTGTGACCTTCGTATGTTTCTTTAGAAAAGCGCTAAAAATGGTTCAACTTGCAAATGTTGTAGGACGAATAATTCTTTATAAAATGTTATGGCTAACTAAAATGTACCCTTTACGCATATAAAAATAGGACTGCTTTTGCAAGAACTACATCTGTCAGAATTGAATTCTGATGAAAAAATTGATTTTTCGAAAATGCAACTGAACAACAATGTAAGTATTTTGTCAGAAAAAAATTAACTCAAATGTCATATTTTGTAGAACAAACTTTGTTCAAGCTGACATGTGAACAAAAGATTCAGCATTTAGTTTTGAATATCAGTAGCAAGCATATGAAGATGTGCGAAGAAATTTTCCGTCCAAACTGTTGTTTTTAGACCTTTGAAAGGTCTTCTCACTGCTCTCGAGCGAGAATAGGTACACCAATTCAGCCCATATTTGGAAAGAGCACAAAATTCTGGTCCTTAGCACTAGTTGTTCACTCGACTAAAATACTTTTTGAAGAGTCAAAAATGAGCAAATATGTTGCCCAAAAACTTTCCCATAGACTGCTATAGTAGTTTTTCTAAACCGCCAGCCGCCGCCGCCGAACGACGAAGGACTTTAAGCCGCCGCCGCTGTCGGCGGTAGGAAAAAAATGACTTTCGAGCCGCCGCCGCCATGCAGCTCCAGTAATTCAAATCTGCGTCGCCGAGCTTTTGAAAAAAATTTTTTTTTAATGGCGCCGCCGCCGGTCAGCTCATCGGCTTACATCTCTACTCTCATTTATCTTAAACATTCAAATCTCATCTTATCAATGCCGCCCTCAATGTGAATAAAGAACCATGCAAAGAAAGAAAACGAAAAATGAAAAGGTAAAACAGATATTTGTCACGTTTATGCAAGTATGACTGACGATGATGTAGACTACGATCTTCGGCGATGTCAAAACATGATGCAAGAAGCTTATGCACGTCTTCCTGCCTTTAATCCATTCTCAGTTGATGAACTTCGACGAGTAACTGCGATAGTTCGTGCACCCTGGACCGAAGGTGGACCAACCATGAAGCGGATAGAAGAAAAACATGTTGGTGATTATTCAACACGCATTCGCATTTACTATCCAGAAGATAGTCAAATTCTTCCAGCACTCATTTACATACATGGAGGTGGTTGGACAATCTTTAGTCTTGATACACACGATCGACTGATGAGAGAATATGCAGATCGAGGCAGAATTGCCGTTATTGGCGTAGATTATAGTCTGTCACCAGAAGTAAAATATCCACGAGCCATCAATGAAATCGTCTCAGTAGTTCAATGGTTGAGAAAACAAAATTCAACAGAATTAAGTATCGATCTGCACCGAATAGCGATCGGTGGTGATTCAGCCGGTGCAAATCTTAGTGTTGCAGCCAATCTGTACTTGCGCGATCTAAATGAACCGGTTCTGACGGCTCAACTTCTCAATTATGGTGTCTATGATCGTGTTAGATCTGAGTCAAATTCATGCATGCGTTACGATGGTCCTAGATATCGATTAACTGTAGACGAAATGCATTTTTTTCAGAAGAATTATGTGCGAGATGAGCGAGATTTCGACGATCCACTCGTATGTCCTCTTCATGCCGATCTTCATGGTCTTCCACCGAGTTTTCTTGCTATTGCTGAATGCGATGTTCTTGCGGATGAAAATCGAGCCATGGCTGAGGCGTTACGTAATGCTAATGTTGAGGTTGAAGAACGTGTCTATCAAGGAGCAACACACAGCTTCCTTGAAGCTGTTCGCATTGCAGCAATCAGTGATAGAGCTTTGAATGAAACTACTTGTTGGCTTGTTCAACAACTTAACCGTGAGATTAAAGATTCCCGTCAATATCATAATACCTTGCCTATTAACATGTGTCAACCAGAATAACGAAAATGTGTTTGAACAAGGTAATATTTCGCTCCAGTCTCTGTGGAATGAATTTTTAATCGTTTCATCAATTCGTGAGAAACCATTCGATCCTATCTAGCGTCTGTTATTTTATGGTCCCGCCTTGTTTTGCCAAATTTGTTTAACTTTTTCATTGATCATTTTCGAATAAAATATATAAACAAGCGATAAGCTCAAATGTTGATTTATTTTATATTTAGTCCATTAATTGAGCTTGCGAGAGAGTATAATATCGTTACTCTCCCGCTAGCATATACCAAGAAAGTCAAAAATGATAAAAAGAAAACATAATACTTTAACTCTACTTCAAAAATTTGAGTAAAGATAATCCTTTAGACTTAAAAATTAAAGTAAGATTGTTCAACATGCGTATTTTGTACTTGGTAATGAGGTTAATCGGTTTTTACAATATTTCTGAATACTTCATAAATAATTCATAGAAGGAATAGTTCAAATTCATAATGTTGTATTGAATTTATTGATTGAGAACAGTTTAATGAGGTAGTCTAACTTAGATATGACCCTTTTATAGACTTACGAGAGTAGTTTTAATTTAATCTTCATAACAATTAAGTTGATAGTAATGACATACTAAACAATTGTTTAGTTTATTTTTGAAACGAAGTGTAACAATTAATGGAACAATTGTCTGAATTACATGAACTTGTATAAGTGGCGCTACTTTTAAATGTGGATGTGTGGGTGAGTGTGGAAGAAGAAATAACCACATTCACACCACAACTGAGATCCAACATGGCTTTGGCTATGTAGGTGTCTAGAAAATTTTGAAAATTTGACTTATTTTCGAAGTAGCAGTTGGCTTTCAGAGTTTCATTTATATTCAAACTTGAATTCGACAACTCGTGGAAAAAAATTTATTTATAAAATTAAGTGAAGAGGAAAATATATCCTGTCGATCCTATTAAGTGCAATATCTGAATTTTTGGTATGATTTCATCAGATAGTGATAGATTTTCTTGATTTTCAACATTGACTTTTTCCTTCGACCATATTCTTTTCTATTATTATTTTCATTATAGTAGATGCAATAGAATTCATTTACTGGAAAGTTAACGGTAGAAGCATAAATTAATTTTTGACACGAAATTCATAGTGGGTGAATCCATGGAGACCCATCCACTTTTTTGGAAAGGTCTTTTTTTTCGATTTTTTTTGTTCAAAAGGCTGATCTCGACTAGAAAACACTTTTGGCCAAAAATAAATTAAATACTCTCTATCAAAAATTCCGAGTTTTCGAGCATTTTCTCGGAACACCTATGGTGTACTTTTATATATAGGGAAAATGGCATGAAATAGGATAGAAATTTTTTAAAAACAATTTTTTCGGATTCTTTTGGTTTTCAAAAATATAAACAAAGTCTAGAAACATGTTTCTTGAGGTACATCAGATCAATCCTAATGGAGGTTTTCAATGCTTAGTCATTTTCTCTGAACATATCAATAGCTATATTTCGTCAACATAATTGTATTCAATTAAATTGAATAATTTTTATTTTCTTCGCCTCGTGGAATATAACAACTTTCATGATACTATCCTCACAGAACGAAATCGTACTGACAACTCCGCCCTGATAACTAGAAGGATTTGCTAGTATACCGTCTTCAAAAAGTGAGACCATGGAATCGAAAGGGACACTACTATCGAAATGATAGATATTCCATTTCTCTTTAAGTACATCTTTAGATATAGAGCACTGTGTACAAAAAATTCTCACGCGATTTATCAAGAAAAATTTTCCGTTGGTAAAGAAGATCAATTATGTGAGGTAAGTTTTACTGTTTTTGAAGTTTATGTATGACGTCAATCCTTTCCTTTTCTTTAGCGATGGTGCGTGTGCACATTTCAAAAACAATGCCAGCATTTTGAACCTAATCCACCACAAGATCGATTTTGATTTGGATGCTTGTTGGACATTTACAGCTACAGGATATGGTAAGGGTGCTGGCGATGGAATTGGTGCGGTACTCAAGTCCACAGCTAGACGTGCTACACTTTCCAAGAACACTCTCATGTCAAATGCAAAAGACTTCTACGAGGTCACCCAGAAATAACAACTTGAAATGGCAAGAAGATCTAACAAGGATATTCCTGGTGCTCATGTGTTCTTTCTTGAATCAGATGAAGTAGAAGAAGCGAAGGACAGTTATCTGCAAGCTAGAAGCGAAAAACTTCGAGCAGCTGGTGAGAAAGACTTTCTCTTCTATTCCTTAATGTCTGTATTTATTTAGGTACGATACAAGACATTCGAAGTATGCATGAATTCAAACCAATCAACAATTCAACTGGTCAATATAGTTTGACATCTCGGTCAACAAAGATCAGGACATTTACATTCAAATAAAAATCCTCTTTATATCTTTGTCAGTCAATCAAATTTTTTAAAATCAACCCTGATGATGATACTCAGTATTCAGATATAAAGGATAGCCCTCTTCATCTCCTCCTTATACTAGATTTCTGTAGTCTTATGTTCATGGATAACCAGAAAATGACTGAGCATTCAAAACGTTCATTAGGATTGATCTGATGTACCTCAAGAAACATGTTTCTAGACTTTGTTTATATTTTTGAAAACCAAAAGAATCCGAAAAAATTGTTTTTAAAAAATTTCTATCCTATTTCATGCCATTTTCCCTATATATAAAAGTACACCATAGGTGCTCCGAGAAAATGCTCGAAAACTCGGAATTTTTGATAAAGAGTATTTAATTTTTTTTTGACCAAAAGTGTTTTCTAGTCGAGATCAGCCTTTTGAACAAAAAAAAATCGAAAAAAAAGACCTTTCCAAAAAGTGGATGGGTCTCCATGGATTCACCCTAGTATTATTATTATCGTTTGTTTATTAATACTACCGAGAGCCATAAGAACCAATTAATAAAGACGATAGAGAGGTTGATCAATAGATATTAAATGAATTGATAGTGGTGTGGGATGTAATGTGGATGTGGGTGTGAGGTACGGATGTGCGTGCGTGTAAGATTCTTGAGGATGTGAGTGGGTGTGGATGGGTGTGGGTGTGGTGGGTGTGGGTGTCGGTGTGAGTGGACGTGGGTGTGGGTGTGAGTTTTTTCTTCATTCACACCCAACCACACTCACACCCACACCCACCCACCTACACCCCACCCACACCCACATCCACCCCCACCCCCACACCCACCCCACACCCATCCACCCACACCCACCCCACACCCCACACCCACCCCACACCCCACACCCGCATCTTTTAATCTCTAAGTATGTTTTATTAAAAAATAGAATATACCACTAGATGCAGCGTGAAAA